ATATTTAATTAAACGGTTTATTGGTTCATTAAGTAGTATTTGGTGTGAAAGCAAAAGTTGACATCCAGTTCACATGCTCATAATTGTGAGTGATAATTTAAAATGATGGTAATCTACTCTTTTTGTATGTCCTCGATCTAAGTGCATGATGATTTGTTCGGGCGAAGGCATAGTAGGACAAAGACAATCCCACAAAGCCACATGATGAAATAGTTTATAAAGTTTGGTGCGATTATAAGATTAATAGTAAGGTGAAGTAATGTTAAGGTAAAAAAATGATAAAAGTATAATAATACTGGAATCAGATGGTAATAATAATGAATATTATTATTCCGGAACTATTTACATATTCTCGAAAAATAAATTTTCGAAAAAATACCAGATTACCAGATTATGCCTCGTACGAAGTTCCTCACTTGATTAGCGAGCTACTCAAGTGTTGTCGAGTGTTATGAGTCAAGAGACGATGCCAAGAACAAACTATAGCCAAGCGAATCTCCACAAACATGTACGTTGACTGAATCATGATGAATAGAGTGGCTGAGAGTCTGCGTATAAGATGAAAATGGGAATCGAAATCAGTGGGTAGAAGCAGCAAGCGACCAAAGGGAAATGAGGTAATAACCCGCTTAATTAGTTCAATCGACCAAAATTAATTCCACAGGAACTTAACGACATGAAGATTCATAACATTCTGTCTGGCTTTTGTAACATGTAATAGTTATTGTTATTGAACCTTTTATTTTATTTTAATAAACGAGAGAAAGGATACTTAAATTTGCTTTTCCAGGAGGCCAAGTTGGAGTTTCTTGCAGTGTATTGAAATACGGAAAACCATAAATGTGGTCAATCGCGAATTGTATCCCCGAGTTAAGTAAATCCCCGAGAACTGACGGTTATCAGAAGAATTCGTTCGGTTCTTGGATGATTCGATAATAGAAAGCTGAGATATACAGGCATGTAATCATACATTATTAGTTCTGTATTAGTTCAACAAAGATGGTTATTTTGCATTTGGATGGTATGAATGGACTTTCCATGCGAAAGAAGAAGTTGATTGAATGGGTCTGACTGAAAAGCATATTTTATGAAATAGCGTTGCAGTAACTAACTCGCTAATGCATTCTTAGAAATTCAGCTTTTCTTCAAATGTACGAAGTAAAGATGTTAATACCAAATTCGCCCGAGTCTAGTCTTTTTGTATGTCCTAGTTGGAAATGTGGGGAACCAAATTGATGAGATCTTAATGCATGATGACTTGTTCTGACGAAGGCATAGTAGAATGAAAACAATCCGGCAAAGCCACATAATGAAACAGTTTATAAAATGTTTATAAAGTAAATGAAGACCATAGGGATGAAAATGACTGCATGGGATGTCATAGAAACAAGCATTCAATCTGGCATAATCCATCATCCATGTAGATGAATTTAAGACAGAACTGTGAACTGTGAAGCCCAACAAATATTTTTACATTCATATTTGCCTCCTCGAGCCTAGACAGGATACCCAGACTCTCTAGTTTAGCATCTTTTCTTGCTAAGGACCATTTATTTCCTCTTTCTTACTCCATCAATATCCGCCAATCCACATTCACCTATTCTTGGTAGGACGATTATCCCAAAGTGGCTGTATAATTGAAGGAACAGACAAGGTAATCAAATGATCACATCTCATTTTATCTAAATAAAGGGAGTTGGTTTTGGTAGATGAAATTTATTATTTGGCCTCGTGGGAAACCGAAGGAAGATTGCTTTTGTCGAGTGAAGTAGAGGGTCCCGGAGAGGCCAAGTTATGAATCCCTTCCAGTCTCCAGCTTATTTAAACCGAACATGGTTCGGGAATAATGCAAAATGTGTACGTTAAAATAGCACATGCTAGTAAAGATGTGAAATCTTCCAACACGAATCATTGTGAAAATTAAATGAAATCGTCAATAAAAATCCTTAAAAATAGTTTTTTTTTATTTAAATTTTAATGCGAAAAAATTATGTTTTACATTTTTGAAATTTATTTTAACATGAAGCCACTCTGATACATCCTTAACATAATTTAAATAATCATCCTCAAGATCGTGTTCATCTGAATTCAACAACTGAGATGCCCATTTCATAATCCTTTTCATGCAAGTTGAGGCAATGTCTTGAGAGAGCACAGGATTGGTAGAATACTTCATAGTTGCCATTGTCACTATCTAGTCCATTTGAAGCGGTAGATGTGAAAGTGCGCCTTGATGCTAAAGTTATGAAATTATTGGACACTTGGACCAACCTTTGGCCAAGAAAAGGGTAGAGGATGCGCGTAAAGAGGCGAAATCCGCTTCACTCCGTCTTAAAGACGGCTGGTTAAGCCAATTGGTTGAATCCTCCATTCTGATTGGTCTAAGACGTTCTCCTTCTTGGTCTCCTCTTCTTTCAGTCTACCCCAATTTCCGGTCTCACCCTCTTTTCTCAGCCTACCCTCACAAACATGGCCAGTCGTGCTGTGAACATGCACGATTGTCTGCTTCTACTTCCACGACAGACTTCTATCTTATACTCTCACCGGTTTAAGACAGTCCTGTCTCCAAGTCGACACTGCCTTGTAGACCGGACGGATGTGCACAAATCCAGTGTGTCTGTTGCGGTTTTTCCGTCTGCTCTGAGAGAGCCGATTAGCTTTTAGACAAGGCCTTAAGACTCCGCCGCCATTTGCGGCTAGAAAAGTAACTGACACGAGCGGTACCGTTAACTGGTTCGCGACGTGAATAAACTTATGGCCAGCGAATGGAGTGCAAAACAATTTTGCCGATTGATGGTAGATTGTCCAAAGAATAGGGCCGCACTTTTTCCACATCCGCTGACTTGCCTCGTGAAGAAATTAAACAGCCTCAACTTTGTCAATATTATAATATATAATTATAATTAGTAGTAGTATAGTAGTAGTAATAATTAATTAATTAAATCCACTTTCACCATTTCGAGGGGAATGACCGGCAGATTATGGTGACCGGCACACTTTGAAGTGTGATTTTGAAGATAATCATTTTCTGGTTGGCCAGACACCAGGAAATTCACTAATACTGCAATCTCACACAACAGGTAATTGAGGTATGTAAACTGGTGGTTGCCACAAGCATGTAGGAAGAGGCGG